ATTTACTAGGTTGGTTCTTCATTTTGTTTCTTTTGTGGTGCAGAGGCTTTCTAGTATGATGAATTCCAATCCTGTTTTTTTGTTTTTGTTTCTTGTTCTTTCCGGATCATACTGAAAGTATTTCACAATCTACACCAGTGTTTAGGACTGTTTTTTTTTCTGTTTCCTTCTATGTCCTCTGTTTCTCAGATCTATTTTGAGCTCATTTTAGTACCAAGTGAGAGACGGGGATCTAATTCAGTATTATACATATGAATATCCACTTTACCCAGGATCATTTATTGATGAGGAAAATGTATGTTTTTGGCCTTTTGTGGGGAATCAGTTGGCTGTAGATGCATGGGTTTATTTCTGGCATCCCTGTTCTGTTCCACTGGCTTGTGTGTCTGTTTTCATGCCAATACCATGCTGTTTTGCTTATGCCTTGTAGTATGTCTCAAAACTAGATATTGTGATGCCTTCAGCTTTGCTCTTTTTTTCCGTAGGATTATTTGGGCTATTTGGGGTCTTCTGTGCTTCTGCAACAATTTCAGGATGGCTTTTTCTAGTTCTGTAAAAAAACTTTTATTGGTATTCCCCTCAGGAATTGCTTTGAATCCATAAATCATTTTGAGTAACGTTGACATTTTAACAATATTAATTATTCCTTTCATGAAAATGGGAGGTATTTCCAGTTTTTAGTTCTCCTTCTTTCCTTAAACACGGCACTCTACTTTTACTGCAATTCTCTTTTGCTTCCTGTGCTAATCTAGTCCTACATATTTTAATTCTCAGCTATTGTTAATGGATTTGCTTTTACAAGTTCTTTCTCATCAATTTTATTGGGATATAATGTGTTAGTTGTTTGGTGCATTTATTTTATATCTTGTAATATTACTGAATTTATCATTTTATGAGTTATTTTATGAAGTTTTAGGTTTGTCCGCATATAGGAAGACATAATTTATAAACAGAGATACTTTTATTTCTTCCTTTCCTGTTTGTATGCCTTCTATTTCTAGTTCTTACTTAGTTTCTCTAGTTAAAACTTCCAGTGGAGAGTTTGAAAAGCATGAAGTGATGAATTTGTCTTTACTGAGCATCTGCTCAATGTCAGTATTAGGTATAAAAATGAGATATAAAATAACCATGTAAAAATCATATGTGATATATAAAATCATAAAAGTTATGGAAAATTTAATTTTCAGGGTACCTATATTACACACACACACACACACACACACACATATAATATATTACATATCTATAGTCTCATTTGATCTATGTCATGGTTCTTATTCTCAACATTCCTATATTTTGTTAGGAGATAAATATAAATGACAAAACAATCATGCATCATATATACTCATATTGTTCCTATTATAAGCCTAAGAGGAACTCCAAGAGGGATTGAAACATCGGGATGGGATTCATGGACATGAAGGATTTGAATTGGTTCTATAGGGTTTCTCTATAGCTGGAAGCAAAGACTGGAAGGGAACTATAACCATTCATGGGGTAAACTCAATCCCCTGATCACAAAACACTGTCAGCATGCACCACGACTACCTGTTTATATGAAAGGGAAATTTCCCATGCCTATGTGTGGGAAGAAAAGGTGAGAACAGAGAGACGAGGGAGTGGGAAGGACATGATAGGAAAGCCTCATTTTTTAAAAGCTCAGGATAGAAGAATAACATGGTTATATATACAGGTGAAATTTTCTATGATCTGATATAGGATGTTATGACCCAAATAATGGGGTACAAAGAATGAGGAGAGCCAAGTTTGAAACAGACATGGTTGAGGAAGAGAACTAACCACTGCCATAGACCAACCAAATGAACTGTACTTTCAGTATTAATTCAGAAAAATCTGAAACAGAGAGATGCTTTTCAGAAGTTGCTTTTCCTGCAAGGCCCTTAACCTGAAGGTGAGAGATTTTATTGCAGTAATATTTTAGTTAATTCTCGTATGTTGCATTTTGGTCTTTGACTCTAAATAAACAATTTGTGTGGCTAACTTAACCTGCTGACTTCATCTTTAAGTGATTTCCATTAATGCTTCATGGTGACTCTTGGGGCATAAGGTCAAGGTTTGGTGAACAAATATTATTTCTCCTTCCCCCTTACTTAAAAATCATGTCAGGCTTTTACTGTCTCTAGGAGTGCAGTTTGACTGAAGGCAATGTTATTGTGCGAGTTGTAGACTAGTCTAAAGATGAAAATCGAAAGTGTTCTATGATTTATCTTCCTGGTTCCAGCATGCTAAAATCATTATCTTACTTGCATTGACATGCCAAACAATGACATCGATACTTTGAAAATATTTCTCTTGTTCTGGAAATCTGTTAGGGTGGTTCAGTACCATTTCACAGAAAACATTATAGAATAAATCCATAAAGGAGAGAGAGAGGAGAGAAAGAGGGGGGCGGTGCGGAGAGAGAATGAGAACACCTGAAGTTGTTCTCAAGGGCAAAGAAGGACCAAGGGTAGCAAGAAGTGAAGTGATTTACTTACATTTTGAAGTAGATGAAAGCCACAGAGTGAGTTATCAAAGTGTTGCTTTAGGGAGGACAGAAGAGGGAGGGGGAGAAGGAATTCTACATATGAGTAAACTGTCATTCTTCATTCAGACAATAAGCTGAAATCGGTTTGCCTCAGTGTATTTCCACTTGGAATGCCAGTCAGCAGATTACGGACAAAGAGCTTGGAAAACCTGTGGGAAATTCTATTCTTAAGCCTTTGATACATTTGATAGCTGTTATAAGGCCCAGAAATCGCCAAGGCCGTAGTTTCAGTTCCTTTCTCAATGTGTCCGTTGGTGTTAGAACACAGAGAGCTCCCACACCAAGCAGCAGCAATGTCAACAAAACCATCCCAAGCCTCAGACCGCCCCGTTGTCCCAGTGTCCCCCTCTTTCCTTTCTTTCATATCTCCTCTGCTGGGTTACACAGATTTGCTATCTCCATGTCCGCACCCTCCTCATCACACTGCCGTTCATCTCTCTTGTTCGCTCATATGTTCGTCTTAGAGAGTGCTGGCAGTATCCGCTGCATTGTCCCTGCCTACAGCCTGGGCGTTGCCCCATCTCCCTGATTTTCTCCCTTCTCCACATGCTATGACTCATGTGGTTCTATTTCTCCCATCACTAAATTGGTCAACTCTACTCCCTTCTTTCCATTTCTGGTATCCCCCTCTGATTTGAGGTTGACAGCCTTGCTCTTTCTGCATGCAGGTGATATCTAACTTGGTGAGCGCATCAAGTTTTAAGGGTGTTAAGTACTGCATAAGCAAAAGATGTAGTGGTCTCTGGGAGGCTTTGTGGCATTTCTGTACCCCTCTTGTCAGACTTCCTGTTAGGAATGGTTGCTTCTGCATCTGACTCTCGATTACTTGCTATGTCCGTGGCATGTTCCTCTGATTCATGGGGGAAAACCTTTGAAGCTTCTAGAAGCTCTGCACTCATATTTGTCATTTAGGCTCTGTGGTCAAGCCTGGCTCTGACCTTCACTAGCTGTAGGAATTCACGTAGTTCTTCAACTTCTAGCTTTCTTGTTTATAAAAATGAGTGACTTTCCGAAATGCTCGCGGAGTAACCCTTTGTGTACATAGGACTCACCTGGAGAGCTTTCAAAATGGCCACTGCCCATGCTGAACCTTAGGACCAACAATGCCCGTGTCCTGATGCCTAGGCTCCAAAATTCACCCATTCATTCTTTTTTTTCTTTTAAATCACTTTTTGTCAGGACTTTTAAAGCTCCTCCAAGATCCCAGTATTATCATAAAGTTGAGAACTACGACTTAATGATTTTGAAGAGGCTTTTGTTCTCCTGTCATTTCATGTTCTTGTCATGCCTGGATCCCAACTGGAGCTTTCTCTTTCTTTTAGTGTTTTCCCTAAGTTGGGAAGAAATAGCTGTGAGGCTCCCCCTTTCCCATCTGCTGTTTGTTCTTATTTACATATGATGGAACCCAGCCCACTGATTTACAGCTCTTGTTCTCTTACAACTGTTATTGAACTGAAAACATAGTGGAAACTTATTAAACACACAGAGAGAAATTCTTTTAAAGTGAGTTTTTATGCTGACAATTCCTTATAAAAGGGGATGTTTAGAAAAAAATTAACAATTTATTTATAGGTCCATAATCTCAACAACAAATATAATCCAGAGATCAGATGCCAGGGTTTGAGCTTTACTGGCTATTTCATTAAGGAAGTGACGGCATTTTCACAGGTGAATGGGACTATGTGGCATACATACATACATGGTGGGGTCTCCTTGCACCCTGCAGCAGCGTCTCTCTTCCTCCAGTTTTCCCATCCCTGCTGAGGCCTTCAACAAAGCAAATGTGTCCTTAACCTGGATGTGATCTCATTCTTTAAATGCTCTGGAAAAAGCCCTTCGGAAAACTTCCTGTCACTGAATTTAGGGACATTTGGGGGTCCTAACAGAAATCTAATTCATGCTGGTGTGATGTCCTTTAGGGTACTCTATCTGCCTGTGTGAGTCTCTTTTAACAATAGCTCCTTCAGTTGTTGCTCACTTTCTTGGTAATGCCTATCTAAGATGCACAGCTCGTGCTTTTGCTTAACACCCTTGGGGTTTAATAAACTCTGTGTGTGTGTGCGCACGCGCACGTGTGGCATTGGGACTAGAACCTAGGGCCTTGCACTTGTTAGTTACTCACTTTACCACTGAGCTCATTCCCCTACTCTTATGAAATTACTGAAATTGGTTGTTACCTTGATAAGGACAGACCCATTTCTTAGCTCCATATAGGTAAGTGATTGACTAGTGGTAGCTTCTGGTGGGTTTTCCACAACCTCCCTGCACAATCCATTCACAGATGCTCCCCCCCAAAAAATATCAGAGCGTGGAATTGAGCTGAAAGCCCCCCTCCCACTCCCGGTTTTGAACCTTGCAGTATTTTTATTTATTTATTTTTTGTAACTTGATTTAGGTTGAAGAAACCTTGTCTGAAGTTTCTGCTTTTTTTGGGGGGGGTATTTTCTTATAGATGGAAGAATTGATTGAGGGTGTTCGCTGGGCCTTTATTGACATGCTGGAGAAAGAAAATGAATGGATGGATGCGGGAACAAAAAGGAAAGCTCAAGAAAAGGTAAGGATTTCCTTTGATGGAAGAAAAAAAAAACCCGACTTTCTGTTTAATGGATTTTCATGCTTGACATTGACTGTGCAGTTGATTTTTTTTATTGACTGAGTTGTTGGCTCCAAATAACCCCAGAAGTAGGTGTGTTCTTTTGGATGAACACATAGATTTCATCACCAGGAGGTAACAGAAAATAAGATCCGACTTGTTCTTTCTCTAACTGTATTTTCAAATGCCATGTAATTCAGCCTTTCTTTCGCTCTTAATTGCCGTCTGTAAGAGCCACATGGCTTACTGCCTAGTGAATTGTGCTATAAACCATCTTTGGATACGGCAGAATGCAGAGCAGTGGGGAGCCATGGGAAGCAGCTGGCAGAAGGGCCCTCAAGTTGCGCAGAAGAAAACCCCATATTGTCCACGTGTCTTCTCCATTTGCGCTTGATGTGTGCAAACGTCCTGAGGCAAGTCCTTTCCTGCAGTAAAACACATGTGCTTCCTAGCCCATCACGTTCCCCAAATGGCCCAGAAAGCATGCATATCAGCGGTATGGGAGTGATCATAGAGTACTGTGGAGTATTAGAAACAACTAGTTCCTGCCACAAGTGGATACGTGTGATGCCTGGTAAAATTCTCTGATGCTGTGTGACAAGATAAAGGAATAAACAGGGAAACCGTTGAACAGCTGCATTGTCTACCAATTATGAAGGGGCCCATCTTGAATTGGAGAAATTCTTCTGGAGCTGGAATTCAAATGGTCAGGGCCAGGGCGTACACTTGCTGTACTCCCTACGGATGCCACTTTGTAGTTGAAAGGCTCTGAAATGAAATTTCTTCCTTTGAGAGGGGGTTTTGAAATCTTCCCGATGAGAGCAGTTGCCACTGGAACATGGAAATGCAAGATTGTGCTGGGCACATCATTAGCAATGATTGCTTTAGTTTATCAAGTTGGGGGTCTGTGCATTTGTGATTTTTACCATCTCCTCTGACTATTATCATTAGGTCTATTGCTTTGAGTCATCATGAGCCCAGTATTTTTGGGTTATGGTCAAGAAACTAGGAAATTCTCACTGTAGCGATGCTATAAATACCAAGCCCCCTTGTTGAAGTGAAAGAACAGAAAGGGTAATTTTGCTTCTTTTTTTTTTTCCTCTGCATGATCTCTCAAAGCTGTTTTAGGTCACGTACGGCCCAGGCTGGAGGAGGCAGGAACACACGGGCTGTGGGGGGGGGGGGGCACTCTCCATACGGTAGATGAAACTTTTGGCACCAACCACATTGTTGTTTCTTGAAGGCTTGGTTTATTGGCAGAGCTAGCTTGTGGTGTGTGGGGCAGGATGTATCTTGTATTTGTCCTGCTCAGTGTATTAGGTGCCCTTTGCTGTAGCCTGGAGTCCTAAAGTATCAATTTTCACAGGACAACTGGTGTGAAGAGAGGGGGAGAGGATGGAAGGAGGGATGGAGACAGAGAGGGAGAGAGAAAGCATATGAATGAGTGAGTTATGAATATTTGGGAGCTTCTAATCAACTTTTCGGAAATAGAAATTAAGACCACTTCAGCGTACTTGTTGGTGTCAAGTTAGGGAAAGACTGTCTTGTAGCTGGGTCCTCTAAGCAAGTGGTCCATGAGTCTTTGAAATAAACTATTCTCAGTCTTTCTAATATTAGACATGTTCCATTGGCCCTCTGGGTTTCTCGCCAGTCTTTTATTTTATTTCAACCATAACTGTCACTTTTTCCCTTCTAAAGGTATTCTTTGAACATTCTGCTTTCTTTGAGCTGAGTTCAACCTGCCAGGAACTCCAGTAGCAGCCTGACAGGCACAAACATCAAAGGCAATTGTCCTTCCGGAGCTCATTAGGTTCCCTGAGGAGATCTTGCATCTCAAGTTTCAGAGAAGTTCCAGTAAGGCGAGACAAGAAACAGGGTGTTGTCCAAGGATATCCATCAGTTCTCCCAGTCAGTATCAGCCCTGGACCCCAGAAAACGTAGATTTCTCTTTTTGTAACTTGAATTAACTTGCGATTCTAGAAATGACCTCTAGGTGGAGCTCACAGTACTGACAAAGAAGACAGAAGCTGCCTGCAGGCTTTTGTACTGCTTTTCACTCTGGGGCTGTTTTTGAAATAATGTATTTTTCTCACCGCATCCCTCAGCCCCCCTTTTCCTTCTGCTTTCCTCAACTTGATTGCCTTTTTAATAGTCAACAAGAAAGAAGAGACTCTGCCTAATAATTTTTTGAGTCTTAGATGGAAATCTCTGCCCGTCTCTGGGCTTTGTCTTTCTGATATGGAGTAGCCCCTGCATTAAGACAGGATTTGCCTGCATTTGAAGTGGAGGGGAATAATTTGCCTTCCCTTCCTGGTATGACTTGGCACCGTTCTTTGGGCATGTGTCGTATGCAGTATATCACCCAAGCGGAAGATTTCTCATCAATAATAATAGTGCCCACACTGGGCTGATGCTGACTCACTTCGCTACCCATTGGCAAAGCTGTAAAAAATTTTCTGATTCGTGAGGGGTCGAAGCGTTTCTTTCTCTCACCGTGAAGCTCAGAACTGCAGCTAATTAAAGCACCTCCTAAGAGGTGTTGACCTCAGCTTTCCTTCGTGACCAACCTCCGTAACTGAGTGGTAGGGAAGCTCAGATACTTGCAGTGGTCTGAGGGCCTAACCACTTAGCTTTTGTGGCAGCGACCCTATTTCAAAACGAAAGTGTGGGGGTGGGCTTTGTCCTTTTTGCTAGGGGTGATCACTGTAAAAGATAAATGAGGATATGCCTCTGCTTCCTTGAAGGGTAAATTTGTTATCTGTCTCCCCGCCTTTTGCCGCTCCTCTCTGGAGAGAGGTCAGGGCTACTTTTGTCTTTTGAATCTCACTGTGTTGATTTCAAGGGGAAATTAAATATATTGGGAACTAAGTACCACTTTTTATTTAGGATGCTGTGTGCCTGGCAAGCACATGCTCTTTAATTTTTCCTTTTATTTTTTGAGATTACACTATAATTGCATCATTTTTCCTCTCCTTTTTTCCCTCCAAACTCTCCCAATATAGTCCTCCTCAATTTCTTTCAAATTCATAGTCTCGTTTTGTTTTTCCACAGAGGACAAGGAGGCCTGCTGTTTTTCAGGTTAATATAGCCTTTGAGTGGGCATACTGTGATAATTGAGCGATTTGGGTGTCTTCTGGAGGCTTCACCTTGTTCAGAGCTGAGGAGGAGTCCCACAAGGTCACTGTGCGATGGTTCTGATGGTTCGGAGGCTGGGCTGCAAGGGACTCAGACTGCCTGGCCAGTTCTGAGTCAGCTCTGAGGAGCAGCTTCCCGAGAGCGGCTGGCTCAGGCTTGTTCCCTAGCTGAATTAATTATGTAGCACAATCCTGCAGCTCCTCTGAACTGTTTTCGTGTACTCTTTGCACCTGGGGTCTAAGCTTGTCAGCCCGTACCGAAGGAAAAAAAAAAAATACCAGCCCACAACACATGGAGAGGCTGTGTCCTGAGGGTGGCGTGAGGGAGTAGCTGTGGCCTTGGCCACAGCAGGTGCAGAGAAGTTGGCTGCCTGTTCCCAACTCCTGAAGCATGCGACTCCCACGCACAGGCTTTGAGTGAGGTAGGAAGATTTCCATTGCAGAGAGCAAAGCAAAGTGTACCTCACCTCTCTGCCTTTGTCACTAGTAGACTCTGCCAGTCTCAGGCGTTGAGGCTTGCACAGCGTGCAATCTGTACTGACTCGTTAGGAGCCTGGCTTCTCCCTTCTGAGCCCACGGTTCTGAAGGTGGCACCTAGGAGCTTGTAAAGCAGGCACATTTTTACAAACCTGTTTAAAGAAGATTAGGGGTGGGGTGAGCTCAGGGGATTCTGAGGCTTCTAAAGTTTGGGGGACACTCCCCTTGTCCTTGCTACTTCCCTGCATGCCTGTCTGGCTTCTACCTGCAGGCCCCTGAATTCTGCCCAAGGTTCTCTTGTCCCACCGGAGCCTACTGTGAGTGGCACAGCATTCGGAAGGCTCATCAGCCCCTCCCTCCTCGCTGGCGACAATTGATGGAAGTTGGCCAGTACCTGCCCTTGCTCTCTCCTGGCTCTTGCAGGTTCTATACAAGTTCCCGGGGGGCTTTCCCAGTGGGCTTGAGCTTCCTGGGCAAAATGCCCTTCACTGCCTACTTTCCTTCAGAAGTGACAGGTCACTTCTGAAGACCCCTCCTGGTGTTTCTTTGATCCCCTGCCCCTATCCAAACACAGTGTGCTTTAATCCCAGTCTCTGGCTCTACCCCAAGGAGGCGGCTAATGAGGACACAGCCTCTGGGTTAAGTCCTCTTCTCATGCCTCCTTGCCTTTAAGGTAACAGTGCGTTTCATTAACTCTGGACGCCTGAATTCTTTCAGCACCCTCAATCCCACAGGCATTTTCAGCACACCCTCCATGTGTCAAGGACCAGGCTGGAAGCTGCGGATTTGGGACGGGGGGGGGGGGGGGGGGGGATCAGTTGCAGCCCCTCTTTTGCCGGAGGCCTCACCTACCGAGGCTAATGGAGGAGTGCTATGGGTACTGTGCTAGGAGGCAAAGGCTATTTAATATTGAGAGTTGTAAAGCAGCCGTGGGAGCCTAGGAGCGGAAGCTTTAAGAAGCTAAGACCCTCACTCCCTCAGGGTGCTCACCCTGCCCCTTCCTCTTCCTCTGTCTTACTTCCAGAACCGTTTTTTTTTTTTTTTTTACGCATGACCTTGTAAGCCCTTGGGCGAGGCTTCTTCTGAGCCTCTCATCACTTGTTACTTAGAACAGGTGCTCTCAGCAGCGCCTCTCCCTTGGTGACTCTTCTCCTGTCGCACCACATGGTTTCCTTTGGAATGGCTTTGGGGAGGAAAGGCTTTTGCCAGAGTGTCTCATACCCCTCCCTATTATAGCTTCCAGTAGACTTGCAGAATGTTCAAGAATACAGTCATCCCGTCCCGTCCCGTCCCATGTCCCCCCCCCCCCTGCTTCCTGCATCTACTCCCAGGAGTCATCGGGGACAGAGA